GCTCTTATTTACTCTGCTGATTGTGTCACTGATGAGGTACTCACAATGTCTTCGCTTAAATTTTCAACTTTTACTGAGATGAAGCTTGACATCAGGGAACTAACTGCAACACTGTTCTCGAAGTCCTGTGTCTTGGATCCATTACCATCCTCTATTACCAAACAATGTATAGATCTATTGCTGCCTGCTATTGTTAACATCATCAACCTCTCTCTTCGTGATGGCTGCAGGCCTACGTGTTTGAAATCTGCAGTATTGTCACCCCTGCTCAAGAAACCTGATGCAGACTTTTCACAATTCAAGAACTTTAGACCTATCTCCAATTTGAAAGCGCAATCAAAGATTATTGAGAAAAGTGTTGCTCTCCAGTTAACCAACTATCTGATGAACAATAACCTACTTGAAAACTTTCAGTCAGCCTATAAAGTTCATCATTCTACTGAAACTGTCATGGTGAAGATGCAAGATGATATTCTGCATGCAATTGACAGAAACAAAGCCGTTGTACTACTTATGTTAGATTTATCTGCTGCATTTGACACTGTCTCATGAAATACAACTGGATAGGCTGTCTCAATGTTATGGTATAACAGGGTCTGTACTGAAACGGTTTGCATCCTGCCTATCATCTCGTACACAATTTGTTCAAATTGAATGCTCAAGATCTTCGTTACGTGAACTTAATTGTGGTGTACCGCAGGGGTTTGTCCTTGGGTCTCTGTTATATGTTCTGTATACTTCACCAGTGGCTGATATCATAAAGAGACACAATCTTATGTACCATCTCTATGCTGATGACACTCAGCTTTATGTGTCATTTAAATTAGGAAGTGATGACCTTCTCTCCTCAGTAAAATGTGGAATTGGAATATGTGTTCAGGAAATCAACAGTTGGATGATTCGTAATGGTCTTAAGCTAAATGAGAAAAAAACCGAGCTGTTTCTACTCAGTTCACATTATCGGCCCAGTCTCTCATTGGAATTCGTTCGTGTTGGGAGTGAAACTATTCAACCGTCCTCTTCTGTTCGCAATCTTGGAGTGATACTCGATCCCAGTGCTGATATGGAAGACCACATTAAAAAGATCTGCAAAACATGTCATTTCCATCTAACTAATACTAGTAAGATCAGAACATATTTGGATCGTGAATCTGCTGAAGCAATTATTCATGCTTTTGTGACCACTAACTTGGACTATGGTAATGCGATTCTACATGGATTACCTAAAGCTCTCTTAAACCGCCTACAGCTAGTTTAGAATAGGGCAGTGTAACATTCACAAAGAAGTATGAACATATAACTCCCATCTTAATAGATTTACATTGGTTGCCTGTTGAATACCCTATTACTTATAAAATCTTATTGTTAGTATATAAGGCTATCAATGGACTTTCACCAAGTTATATATCCAATTTGCTCAGCTTTTGTACCAGCTCCTACTCTTTGCGTTCTTGTTCGAATAGATTACTTCAAGTCCCGAGATCTAAGCTTAAGTCTAATGATGATCGAAGATTTTCTATTGCAGGACCTAAATTATGGAACAGCATACCCCCATCTTTAAGAAATGCCGATTCCTTGAATTCTTTCAAAAAACACTTAAAGACATTTAATTCGCCAAGCCTTTAAAGGGATAATACTAAATCGCACGAAACTTTACCTTTCTTTCTCCGAATTGTTTCTTCTTTTCTAACAAGACTAGTGCTGGAGACTGACACATGTGATCGGCAATTTGGACACAGAATACAAAAGATATGGAAAATGTTTGGTGGGAAAAAATTTAAAAAATCGTATATTTAGCTTAAACAAGAAGAATATTGCCGCATATAAAAAAAAGATACTTGAGGATTAGCATTCATTTACCTACCGAGGTTTTTCTCCCACGTTTTCAAAATTTCTGATCCTGGCAAAGTTAAACCCCAGAAGAGTTGTAGGTAAATGACGAAGAGGGTCTTTTTATTTCCTAAGTAGCCCCTTCTCTTTCGCGAATGGCTTATGGATCTAAGTTTGGCGTGTGAATTTAGACGGGTGTACTGTAGTACCTTAAGATTATACTGTGTCAACTTCGGCACTTAACTTTTTCATTTGTGTAAAATGTTTTTTCAAAAGAACAAATTTCGGATGTCAATTGTTTATTAAAATCGGTTTTCACTCAAAATTGTAAAAGGTTTAATTGTTTACTGACTATTTCACTTTTGCGACCTTTTTAGACTGCGAATCCAATTTTTCTGGAACGAGTTCAGTGTTATTAAAAACTGAATAAGCAAAAAGTCGCACTCAAACGGAAAACAGTTATTCTAGTTTTCTTAGCTTGGTCATAGTCGCTGAAACCACATTTCAATATGTTATTTATCTTTCCCCGCCCTCCCATCCCTTCCCAACATTCTGATAACATTCTTGAAAAATCCTTCAGTCATTCTGACAAAAGATAAACTGAACAAGTGTGAGCTAAAAACTAAGGAACTTTAACTCTATTTTCTTTTAATCAACACTTTGAACCTCCATAAAATCTAAAAGTAAATCATCTTGATTTGTCCCCTAGCAGTTTTCTCTACAGTTTAGACGATGAAATGTTGACCCCTTCAAACGTCTCTAGCCCAAAACTGATAACTATTTCGTTTGACGCACAATGCGTTTTTCTTATCATAGAAAAATCGCCTTTGATTGATCCACAGTTTTGTCCTTTAACCCCTCTACACCCAGGATCTCAACAGTAATTCTCCTTACTGTCTGTCATACAGCTTTTATGATTTGGGTTTGGAGAATTTGGTATTGGATTGGCTAATGATTTCTTAATAGTCATTTCTCTTAATTCTCGTCACTTTCCGGCTTGGTGTAGTATTGATATTGTAAGGAGAGATTCTGTCTTGGTCACTCATGGGAGTTAAAGAGTTGACCATTAAGCCTCGAACTGTGCGATTTTTGCCAGATTCCGCTTTAATGTTGCACTTTTGTGAAAAAGAGTGATAAAGTAGCCAGTGAATTAGTATGGTACATAGGACGTTGCGTTCTATCAAGATGCAAATCCCTATTGAAAAGAAAGCTTCTAAATAAATGCTCACTTAGAACTGAGGACTGACGCATTTGCCATGAACTAATGAAAAAAAAGTTTTAATGTAAAAGTTGATATTCCTTAAAAAATGATGAAACGCAAATTTTAAAATTGAAACGGTGAGAATAACCAATCCCAGTAGAATTTTATGTCAAGTCTACTAAATGAATTTAAAGAAAATGTGTATATTGAGTAAATTTCATTAAATTATCGTAATCACAAACCATGGGTAATTACGAAAGAGGAAGAGCTCTCTACTGCAAACAGTGCAAGCAATGAGATATGGTAAACTATCTTTTCACTGTTTGGAAGCTTTTAAGCAGGTTATTTCTTAGTAAGTGAATTAAAATGAAAAATAACACTGGAAAACTCTTTTTTTACAGAAAGACTTGATTCTACGGCCAAACAATGTCAAAACGAGTTGTCTGTAGGGCATCGAAGCGCGAAATCCGATATTCACGATTTTCTCTTTGATAAATGAACAACATCCTTTCATTTGGCGACCAAGCTCAAAATCTATCATCTGTCTTTGTCTCTTCCAAAAATTCCTGTTTATCAATCTGATATTAAACACCACCTTAAAAATGTTATTAGAAATAAATGCAAAAAGTCTTTTTAACAAGTGTCTCCTTATCAGTCCGCAAACACGGAACCCAAGCTCTTAAAAAGCTAAAACAACCTGATGCGAACAGACCCTCCAAAATCTCAACTTGTGGACGGCTATCAAAAAATGTTTACCAGTTTGCCAAAAAAACTTAATATAAGCGTACCATTTGCCTGGCTTTTAAACATCCTATCTCTATAAGATAATTTGATTTTTTTATGGGCGATGTAGAGAACAGAGCCTTTTCTCAATACAATACCATAGTACTACTGTACCTTTTCGCCGTCTTGCGAGACCCTTGAGGTGTACTAAAATCTCACTTTGTAAAAAGGGAACAAAACTTTTCCCACTCAATGCGTGCGAAGCTGACAGACGGACTGAAATTCAACCCAAGTTTTACTTCTTGAAACTTTCGGAAAAGTAAACAAATAGCAGATTATTTATCAAAACATGCGTCATTTCATTCTTGAGAAATTAGCTGTCACGCATGGGTAAACTAACATGTGCAATTTCGTCATCAGGGCGGTAAGCGGTAAAAACGCCCCCAAGCTGAGTTTACTTATTCGCCGGCTTTTCTTCTTTCAAAAATAAACACCATTTGTCGCTATTTGAAAATGATTTTATATAAAAAGCTTTTTCTTTATTAACGGGAAATTTATTGGTGAATTTGGACAATATTATAACATATTGCACGACAGTAAATCGACTAAAATGCTTTTTAACGCCAGTTTAATTTTTTAGGAATCAGAACTCGTTGTTGTACGTTTTTAGTGCAAGACCAATATAAAACTGAGATCAATCCAAGCCAAACTGTTTTTCTTGACCTCTTGTGGTGGCTAGTGTGGCAACTAAAGTAAAAAGATTGACGAATTAACTTTTTTTAGTTGGTTTTACTTAGTTGAAAACCATCCTCCCCCCCTCCCCCCCCTCCCCCCCTCAAGGAAATATAGAACAATTGAAAGAAAGGACATATTTGAGGTTAAAAATACAACCGAAAGAATGCACATTTTACAATCTTTTATTGCTATTTAGAAAGTACAGTTTACTACCATATCATGCCATTCAAGCTAGTTAGCTTTATAGCTTGAGACATAATCTTTTAACAATGTTGGCCTTTCAGGTGATCGCCTCATTTGGATCACCAGGACTTTGTGTACACAGATTGTTGCACCTCGTAGTACGCATGCCTGAAGTAATAAACAGAATTGTAGTAGATTTCTGCGCCAGCCTCGTAGCGTTTCACCTTATCCGAAATGACGCTTTTAAGCCAATTCCACGCTTGTGTCAAGAACCGTTTTCTTGTTTAGGTCGTCTGGCAGAGTTGGTACATATCAGTTTTGAAAGCTGTGTCGCATTGGACACGACTCCAGCCATACAACTGGCCCTAAGTGGGAGAGGAAAATGAAAGTAGATAAGTAGAGAGTTATCGTAATACCATGATTTGTTTTCACTCCTCACTTCAATTCAAACAGTCCTTTTGACCCCATATGTTTTGCCGATGGCCATGTGCACTGTAAGGGCCTTATAATCGTGATTTAAGTGCTTTTGAAAGGGACTACTTAACCCATCAGCTTTTGCAAACTAAAATAAAGAGTTGGAAAGAAAATTTTTAAAAATTATCTCAAAAAGATTTTCTGAGTGAAGGACCTTTTTCAGAGGTCATCTCTATCTATAATTACGCCTTTATTGGAATATCGAGTTGACTACCACTGTGTATAGGGCTGGATCAGTAAACAGTAATTCATAGCCCTTAACACCCTAATATTAGTATTCATATTCTCCACACTATTCTCTTTATATTTCCTCTGGTACTGACAAGGAGAATTTGTCCTACAATCAGGAGCTTCCTAAATTGGTGAACCTCTCCTTTATTCTCATAACCTTAAGGTGATTACTCAGAAAAAAAAAATTATAAAATAATTCTACACTTTCCTTAAAAGTTTCATACCAATACTTGTTTCGAAAAAAATAGGTCACCGTATCTATTTAAGAGATAGGATGGGCCAAACTTACCTTGTTTATGCCTGTACTGGCACAAATTACGCGCGTCATTTCATCGCTTCACGGTATATTTTTCTGCAGCTGGAGGCAATGGATTTTAAAGTAACACTTGAAACAAACTCGATAGGTAGAAAGTCTCGAGAGTATGGGACAATTTGATATGTGTTTTGTGGAAAAATTACGCAATCTTAAACGACATTGACTTCAAACGTACCTCGAGTAGTTGCTCCCAAGGTCATAATCTGCATGCTCGAGTAACGGGCTTTGTGCACGCTTTTAGCGATATCTTTTTTCCCTTAGACGATTCTTTATTTCAATTTCTCCAATCTAAAGGGAATAGTTTGTTCACCAAGATTATGCAATGAAAAACATAGGTCGCCGTGCTCGTTCAAGAGCTAAAGATCATCTTACTTCTTCACCTGGATTGAAAAACAATGCCGTGTTCTCAAAATGCGCGCGAGCTCATTCCCCTGATTACGTAATTTTTATGCGCAATACAGGATGCGCGGTGTAAAACTGAGGATATACCTTAACATTTGATTCAAGGCTGATATTGCAAGGTGAAATTATAAGCCAGTCAGTCACTCTTAGGGGTTAAAGGAATAAAGAATAAAGAGTTATTTTGCTTCTTTCGTCTAGCTCTGAAAGCAGCTTTAGGATATGTGCCTTTTTTCATAAGAACTTCGGCAACACAATGAATAAATTAGCCTCGAGAATGCAAACTCATTTTAGGTCATCAGGGGAAAAAAAGTGGATAAACAAACTCGTTCACTTTTCTTATGTCCTAGGGACGTTACGTTTATCGACACCGCACAAGACTGCTCAGTTTATATTCTCGTACAATGAATTTATTGGAGATCTCAGGTACCGTTGTTCTTGCGACCGAATCAATAAACCTCATGTTCATTCCGAACAGAATTTTTTTAAAATGTACAATCAATACAATGTACAATTATGTAAATATGTACAGTCCGATGACGAAATAAGACTCAAGAGTTTACTTTAAGCGTAAACTCATTAAAGTAGACTTATTGTCAAGTCAAACAAACTTATGATTTCAGATGTGTTGCCTTCAAATGTGAAATTAACTGTATTATGGTCAACTGTTCCACGCTCCCCAAGTTAATGGAATTTTTTACATGGCTTGCTGTAAGAAGCACGAGTTTTAATCTACCTGATAACTTTACAATATCTGAAAGTGGCGATGATTTACTTAATAGCTGCCCATGTACGCGCGATACATGTCAGCTGAAAGTAAGAGTTCTCTGGTGCCTGTGGGTTACGCGGAAAATTTGAATTAAAAAAAATCAACCAAAGCCTTCAAATAACTAAGACTTCGTTTCATCATTGGCGGGGAAGCAAAAATTATAATTACTGTGTAGAATTTAATTTATCACCAGTTTCCTGTACGGGAAAGAATAACCCTCAAAAATGCGCCCTACTCCCGACGTAGGCCAACAGGTAATACCGTCCAACTTGTGTCGAGGAGACATGGGTTCGATTCCGTTCGAAACCTTAAACAGAAGGTCTTTGAGCAGAGTATTTTGGGAAATGAAATAAAAACAGTACGGAGATGCAATAAACCTCATGGCGCTACGACACGAGTGGCTGTGTGCCAGAGGTCTGTAAGGAGCCACTCCGTTTGCGAGCTCAAAACAAGCGAGCTTCCTTGCTTTTTGTTCAGTGCTTGCGCTAATGGTAACTTAATTGCAAGCTGTGGATAACGCTCTAGCGATTTTTTGAGGGACAAAATTAACATACGAGTAGCTAGGGTGCTGGATTGGAGCAGATTGTGATTAGTATTTTTTTTGGTAAGGATGAAGTGTTGAAATGATACTGTTATTTGATTTTAACGGATCTCAACCAAAAAATAATTATTTTTTCTGCCACCTTGCGCCTGGATAAGGGAGCAAGAAAATAATGATAAAGAACATTTATTCATGATGGCCTTTCAACACATCATTAGGTCTTAGTAGTGATGTCAAATGGATCCTGGAAAAAAATTTTAAAGAAGATACTGGTAGGATACAAAGAAAAAGGAACCTGGGACGGGTAGTGCGCGACTATAATGTATTAAAGAGAACAAAAACTGACTAAAGCCACAGACACGCTGGAAAAATTGAGGCCTGACTAGACTATTTGTACAAAGTACTCCGAAAGAGAGCTAAGAGGACTAAGTAGAGCCAGGCCTCTTGCAGAACTCTCACCAGCTCACATCAAACTTCTCACGAATGAAGAAGCGCTCGTGCCGTAGTGTTAATAATGAGGGCGTGTTAGCAGGTCACGGTAAACCTCACTGTCTCCCTTAATTTGAATCCAGGCAGAGTCAGCCATGTTACCCGGCCTATCATTCTATAAAGAAGAAGAAAAAGAGGTAGAAGTAGAAGAAGAAATAGTACCTTACACACCTATACCAGTTTTATACAAATGAAGTTTACCTGGAGTTCAAACTATTATTAGAAGGAAGAAAAATCGAGAAGGTTCGAAATACTAACTATCGTTGTCCATTGGTTGATAACCGCGAAATGAGAGGGGCATGGGTTCGAGACAGGCCCATTAGATATACGGGAACTTTGAAAAATTATATCTCAAAATGGCGGACGTCGATGATCGAGGTTCGGCTGGCGGCGAAGAAGAAGGCAAAGATCTCTGGTATTGAAACATAAAAAACTTGTTTGTCTAGATTACGTTGGTACAGTCCATGATGGTGATGGTTGGCTGTTATTTATGTTCCGTAGGTCGTCGATTTTGAGTGACGTTTCAAGTTCAGCTAGTCGAAAATTACCCTCTAACAAGGCGATTGTGCTGTTAGGTAAGCAGTGCTTTATAGATTGTGACCTTTCACTTCTTGGTTCGTGTTTCGATTCTCTTTTTTTAAACGAGAACATTCTTTTCAGGTAACGATGGCTCGGGGAAAACGACGCTGATTTCAAAGCTTCGAGGTAAAGAAGATGAAATAAGTAAAGGTCACGGACTGGAATACACATATTTGGATGTTCATGATGAGGAGAGAGATGGTATGATCATAATTCAGTTCAGTGTGTAAATACGATGCTATTTGATTTTGGCATGTGTCTGACATTTTGTCTTTTCGTTCTCAATGTAGACAGTACAAGATTAGGGGTATGGATATTGGACGGCGATCCTCTTCACAAAGGTCTTCTGCAATTTGCCATCACACCTAAAAGTATTACTAACACTCTTATCGTTCAAGTTGTGGACATCTCTAGACCATGGACAATTATGGAATCTTTGCATTCGTGGACAGAAGTTCTTCGGGAACACATTCATTCACTGAAACTACCGCCTAAAGAGTTAAACGAAATGGAGGAACGAAGTAAGTTTTCATTTTAAATAGTAGTAGTGAATATTCTTACTTCGCTTCGAGTCGATACATACGTAGTGGAGTGACTATTTTTTACTTCTGTTTGCATAGCTGGTTAGACTCATGCATATGATAGTTTTTTTAAGTTGTCACTTCTTTTTATCGGTGTTTGTTCGTCGTGATTTAGATTTTCAACAGGACATCGTTCAAATTTTAGACGGCGATCGCTTGATCTCGATATTCACGTCTTCACAGTACCCTATCATATACAGGAAGCAATATTGCTTGAAATAAGTGATTTGCAAAATCAATTTGTGTTTCTGTGAAAATAAAATAGAACTGTACAGTTCAATAATCAGGGTAAAGTTATGGCAAATTTTACGACTGACTTTAAAAAATACTAAGATAATGTTTTCATCGAAAGGAATGTTCTTAAATTATTTACGTTTACACCGCTTATTTACTTTTTGCTGCGATGGAAAACCTAATTTGAAGCGTCTCTTGAAATAATCTTGTTGTGATTTTCATTTCAATGCTCTAAAATGAATCGAATGGATTAACAAGGAGGGGGCGAATATCATGTTTAATTTATGAATTTTGAATTTCTGCATAGCAGCATAAGATCACTTCAAAGTTTTCTTGACATGCAAATGTGCAAAAACTTTAGTTTACAATAAATCATTTGTTGCTTTGAATAAGGCTGGGAGTGTATCTTCTTATAGTGGTATCCTGTCATTGTTAACAGACAGAAATTATCATTTTAGATAAAGGTTTTGCTATGTAAATAACATAGGATTTTTGGGGAGGAAGAGTGTTACCCTGGTAAAAGTCTTAAAGTTGAAGGTTTTCATGTGTGATCCAGTGTGAGAGATAATAAGCATTAAAACTTAGAAATGAGGAATTGGAGAATGGAACAAAATGTAGTTTGAAACCAAATAAATTTGAATGATTGTGAAGAAGATGCAGCAAAATACATGGAACTATGATTTTTATACATAATCTTTATAGATGCCAATTTGATACTTACCCTATAAGTCAACTTAGACTGATAATGATTTATTTACAAATCAATCTCTAACTATTTTCATAATTAAGGAATTTATTATCATTTAAAACTGCCCTTTGGCTATATTCCTGCCAGCCAAACAATTTTGAAGAATTTTCTGTTAAAAACTATTTCAAACTTCTTGAGAGAATCAGATGTTGTTTTAAGCACTTCCAAAAATGAAATTAAAAAATATATATGCTAATAGAGTATGCTTGTGAATTTAGCTTTTTGCTCTTTTTCTTCAAAAAGATTGCTGGCATTAGGTGTATCTCAATCATGTTGATACTAATTTTTTTATCAGTAGCAGTGATTTGAGCATTATTTTGTATTATTGTTTAATTTACCTCCAATTACATTGCAAGGGACTAACTTGCACACTTTCATAAATTGGTATCCAGTTGTTTTGTACCCATGGTTTTTTCATGCCCAAATGCTGTCAGTTTGTATTCAAGTATGAGATGGTTCATACCCATATCACTGATCGGTTTATACAGTGTGTACAAGTATTTAAAAGACCAGCCTGTGCATGAGCAGATATCAATTGTTGCATATGACAAGTTAATTATTGCTTAGGGCAAGGTAAGTGTGAAATTTTTGATAGAGAAGTCTATTGTTTATACTTGTGATTTTTTTTTAACAATAAAAGCTTATGTAAGTGTGATATTTTCTTCTCCAATTGTTAACGTGGAAAACATACAGTATTGGTTTGGGCACAAAACTACCAAGCTGGGTACAAAATGACTCAACTGACTGGAAGCAAAACTACCTAGCTCAGTACTAAACAACAGTGGGTATGAAATGACCAGTAACCTATAAATTACACTTTTAGTTGTGCAGCAATTTCAAGAGTATGCAGAACCAGATGAAACAACAGAGGACAGGAGAAGATCAGGAATAAAAGATGAAGACAAGGTTCTTCTTCCACTTGATGAAAATGTACTCACAGACAATCTTGGTCTACCTATGGTAGTTGTCGTCACTAAGGTATTTATAGTACTACATTAAGGGTTGCTGTTACAAGAACACAGTATAAAAAGCTGTGCTAATTTTTAGGCTCTTATTGCCAAACCCTTTCACTCCTAAGATCCCATCCATTTAGTAATTCTCCATACAACTCTTTAACTCTCAATATTAACATAGAGCATTTGGTTTGGTATCAAATCCACTAATGTTTCCCTTGTTGATATTTTTCTTGACTGATTACTGCTTAATTGTACTTTATATTTTTCTAATGGTTCTAGTTTGTTTTTTTTTTCGTTTCAGACTGACTGCATGTCCGCACTTGAAAAGGACAGAGATTATAGAGAGGAGCATTTTGATTTTATTCAACAACACATCAGAAGGCACTGCTTGAAATGTATCCTCATGAACATTACACATTATTTATAAGTAAAATAATCACAATTTGTGTATTAGTTGTATTTGCTCTCAGATACACAGGGTTGTGCAACTCACAATAAGTACTTCTCACTTAATGAGTTTCAGGTCTGTACTGCAATTTACAGACCCGGTTTTTTCCTCTGGGATTTATGGTCCAAGCACATGGCATGCAAACCAGAAATCTGGGCAGAAACTACGAGCTACATGTATGTGTGGACCAAGAAAACAAGGGCAGTAAGATATTTAGTACATCTCTAGGTTCAAGCAGGGGAAGAAGATTCCAATTCAAACAAACTTTTAAATTCAGCTGGCAGTACAGTAAAATACGGCCCACTTAATTGACCAATTGTGGTGCACATGCTAGCTGAATACTCTCTAACGCAAACAAGGGGATTGAATGATCTTGAATTATTTCCCTTATTTTTTATTTTCCTTGACTGATAAAAGATGGTGCTACATTGTTTTACACCTCTGTCAAAGAAAATAAGAACTGCACACTATTACACAGATACTTAGTCCATCAAATATATGGCCTACCATTCAATAGTCCAGCTTTGGTTGTGGATAAGGATTCAGTATTTATGTGAGTATCAAGATTGGTGTCAAGTAGTAATATCTAAACCTTATTCCATGGTTTGACCTGTACATGTATATTCTGCGCAGATGTTTTGTGAGTTGCGTTGTATTTTTCCTAGTCCTGTAGAGGTGAGAAAAACTATGAGCAATGAGAAAAATATCTGCTCAGAAGAATGGATTCAGTATTCCACTATTACAACACTTCCAGTATTGTGGCTTCTATTTTCCGTAATAATCCTGGTGGTCTTGAAGGAACATTAGGTCATTGGCATAAGGGGTGGTCAAAAGATGGAAAGAACATCAAAAAGACAGGCCCAAGAAATAAAAAAAAACAATCAAACTATGGATCATGTGATGAGGCCATTTTGTTGCTCCACCTTCCATCTGTATTTTCACCTGGTCTACAGTGTAATACCATGGTGAAAGTTGCATGTTTTGATGCCTTAATATGGTAAAATGGCATAATAGTAAAATGATAAACCATGTGATGTTGCAAAAAATGTCCATTGTCTCTCTTATTTTCATGTGAGAAAAGTTTTATTGTAGCAACCTTGTTATGAGTTGGTCACTAAATAGTGGAGCCTTGATGTTGATGGATGGTTGCTTATTATTTTGAATGATTAATGAGGAGAATATCATTTTTTCATGGTTGCTTCTTAACAATCCAGAGGTTGAAACCATGCAGATGTTTTGTTTACTTGCACTTTGATACTCAAAATGCATTTAAGGATAGGGACACAAACGATTGCTTTGTATATATTTTTTTTTTCAAATTGAAATTGAGAACATTTTGCTCTAGAGTTGCTTCTCACTTTGCATGCAGGAGTGTAGATATAGAGTTTATTTGTTGTGTTAAAAATTGACAATTCAATGTTAAAAGATTAATAAATTAATTAATCAAAAGCTTTTGTGGGCAATGCTAGGAATGGTTCAACTGTAAAAATTAACTTCACCTACGGATATCAGAACATTTCTGTGCAAACAAGGAATGAAACTTTATCACGAAAGAGTCACTACTAATACGGTACTTATATACATGATTGTCACCAAATTACAAAGGTCACAAACATGCAAATTCTCTAATATAGTACATTTAAATTAAGTAGTGCTGTGGGCATTAGCTGGAATGCCCCAGGGGTGTGCACTTTATTTTTCGGGGATGTAAGGAGGGAAATTAAACGCACATATTTTGCAAAACAATGTTGCGTAATTGATTTTTTTTTTAAGTGAGTCAGAAAAAATAATATTTCTTTATTTTCACAGTCCAGCAGGTTGGGACTCTGTAAAGAAGATAAACATTCTTAGTGAACACTTGAAAAATATCCAGGCTGATGATGCGTTTGATGATCATATTGTTAAACCTCAACTGAGAAAGGTACTGCTTGAAAAATGATTTACACTGTGAAGGAGAACTGTTCTTCACCGGTCTTTTCTTGTCAGTAATGTGGTGAACTTAAGATATGGCCAAGAAGGTTATGAAATCGTTGGTTGACTGTAAAACTAGCTTCCAAATACGGTGTATCTTGTATTTTTCAGAAAAATTCCCCTACTTCAAAATATATAGAAACGCTGAAACAATTCTTGAATTCATTCAAATCAATTAATTAATTCCTCTCTTAAGAAAAGAGATTATTTAAGTGAATTCGGTTGAGACAGAAACTTTCGAGGCTTCTTAAATGCACTGCTATAACACTTCAATACACGATTATTTGTAATTATCACATAGTTGGCAACACCCGTGGGCAAGATGAGGCGATTCCTGTGTTCTGATTGGCTACCGGAGCAGGTAACGGGCCCATCTTGCCCGTGTGGGATTACCGTTTTGATCCCGCGCTTGGAAAAGAATTGCTTGGAGCAGAGTTGGCTATGAAGTTTTAATTCAAAGTGCATTTGTCTTTTGTCAGCCAATACAAGACAAAGAAGTTACTGCAGAGGATGAACAAACATTCCTCGCAAAACAACAGGTTGGTTTGAAGTGATTATTTTGAAGATTAAATGTTATCGTTGTACTATAGGTACAGCATTCCAGAGTCCATTGTCCAACTGTGGAATACCTACATATGCATTCAATTTTCCACCGCAGCTGGTCGTAATTTTGGATCGTAAAGGAATAAATGTGTTTCCACTTTAGATCTTCTGTAAATCCTCGCTTACTAAATTATTTCCAAATCGTTGGCTAGAGATGTCGACATTTGCGCACGCACAGTTAGTCCTTGTAATTTTCCTAAACCTTTTGTGGTTACAGAGTGAAAGAAAAGAATAATTAAAAAAAAAAAACGTAAGTTATAGTTGTGAAAGTCTAATAAATCTAAAACACACGTAAATAGACCATCGCACGTGATCACTCGTCTTTACACAGGGGAAGAGGGGATGGGAAACACACACACTGAGTGTTTTTGCCGTCAGACGTGGCGCTTTTTCAAGGATTTAAGGCACCCAGATATCGCAGAATTGTTAGTTTTGTGTCAACATTTTAATATTGGTTATGTGTCTCTTCTTCTCTACACAGCAATTGCTTCAAAAGATGCCTGCTACTGTGTCATCTGGCATCGCTAGACCACAACCGGTCAGTACTGTTATGTCTCTCATATGTCGGATTGTGCCTCAATTGGGATAATATTACAATAACTTGAAAACTTCCTATTTCCTTTGAAAGTCCTTGATTATATTTTGGCCATACAATTTACGATTTGACGACCCGAGAGGGATTGTTTGAAGAAATCCAAGTTTGTGGATACAAACAAATCTTTTTTAAAAAAGTTAATCGCCAGGTGGGCAGAAAAGGGATTTTTCTGCAGTGGTATTCAAGGAAATCTTTGAATCTCTCTCTCTTTTTTTTATTTTTTTCTCTATTTTTAAAATTTATCCAACAACAAAGAAAACAAAACCTCGTGTAAACTGTAGAATATTGCTTCACCAACTAGATGTCTAAACCGTTAACCTACTGCTGGCGAAAACTTTGGTTCCTTTGTTTAGGACATATCTAAGCCCCGTGCTCCAGCGAGCCCTAGTGGCAGGATAACTTCAGACAGAAGGCCTTCAGGTGGAGCAATCTCCGCTTCGCCCAGAGGAGCAAAGGTAGATTAGCCTTAAGCGTAACCACTTCGTTTTTTTTCAAAGTCCAAGTTTATAATTTGTGATTCTTAATCCTTCGCCGTAAAGAAACAGTTCATGTTGATCCCTGTAAGAAAGTCGTTGATGTAAACTTTGGCTTAAAGGCAGATTTTGAAATATAGATTGAGAGCGTAGGTTTTGTCAGATACTTTGATCCCGAAAAAATAGAGAAAATTGCATGTTACCGAGTGTCAGACTTCGCATCGTGAAGGCGAGTTTTTTTTTGTTACTACAAAATTTTTTCCGGCAATTGTAACAACAAATCAACGTAACCTAAGTTTGCTGACAACACAACTGAGAATTGCTCAAAACTTGTTACGAAGACAACTGGATGGTGACCTCGTGCTTTGTTGTATTTTGATGGACCTCAGCTTCAGTCTAGTTAGGAAGCTAAAGGAAAAGAAAAGAAAAAACACCAGGCTATCATCCAGCCGTGTTGACTGGATGATAGGTTATCAACGTATATATACAGGTATTGAAGGCATTGTTTGTGTGGCAGGTCGAAGGTGGAAAACCAGGCGCAGGTGCGGGCACCAGTGAAGGAGTACTGGCCAATTTCTTCAACTCGTTACTCAACAAGAAGAGCGGGACTGGTGCTGCCATGGGACGAGGCGGAACAGCTGTCAGAAGTGATGCTGCTGCCGAGTTAGATCGTATGAACAGAGCCAAGAAAATGGTCTCCCCAGGAAACGCGGCTAACGACACGACAGAATCATCGTAGGTGTGGCAATTAGTTTAATAAGTTGTAGAGGATGTACAACAGACTTTTGTGACGTGCGTTCGGATTAAGCGCTTTCATGAAATTTATTTTGTATAAAGCTAGGCTCTTATAATTTGGTGTAGGATATGATAGTTTGGAGAAAAGAAAAGTAGAAAGATGTACGTTGTATTCGACACAAAGATATGGGGAGAACTTTTAAAACACAATGGAAGCCGTGAATTGTGCCCAAAGTCCGTTTTTAAATGGTAAAAGCAGAAGTTGGAAAGTAACTGTTAATTTACCGAGTGAAAACAGGGTTTGTTGTCAATAGAAAAGTGATGAATGGCGAATGGAAATGTAGTGCATACTGATGAAAAAAATTGTAGTTTTGTCTTGGTGTAGACTTTAGACAAATATGTTGTTGATCCTCGAAGGCGTCAGACTCATCGAGCTTGGGGTCGTTTTTGGAAGGTCAATTCCTGAAAAGTTATCGGGGTTTTAAAGGTCTCAAAATGTGGAGAACACGAAATATAAATTTTATAAGCCGATGAAAGTTTATCTAAGGCTTTTTTTTCATCAGTGACAAATTATCACCCGTAAACTCTCGTTAATTACGATTTTAGATACTTTTCCAAGATATGTGTCAACAGTAAGTGTGTACCAACTAAAAGAGTATCGATAAATTATTTCTAATTCGGAGTACGTTCACTAGAAGGTGAGCATGTCCAGAAACGTAAATAACAGTCAGCTAAATTCGCTCAGGACCCGCTGCTAATGAATAACCTATTATCTTGTGGATGGTTGTGGGAGATAAGAACTCTTCTCTTGCAAGTCCGTTTCACTTGTAGTTTGTTGGGTAAATTAGGATTCTGACTTCGGCATTCCCTGTTTCACGCAGCAAAAGCGGGGCGAGCGAGGAAAAAACACGAGAAGGAGGGGGTGTGGGGCATAAGAGAGCGACCGAACGACTTCCCTTTAAGTATTTCTTTCGGTATGACAGATCCTGTCATACTCTCTTACTGGTAAATTTTGTCACGTAACGTCATTACATCGCCAAGTGAGTCGTTCAATTCATCCACTGAGGAGAAACGTGCCCTTCTCATGCGCGTGATCGAGTTGTTTCTTTTCCCCACCCGTTTTTTTGCTTATCTCCGCTGATCAAGAACATATGACATGAACATTGTAAATGTCAAGATCATGAGACATATTGCAGAAAAATCCTCCCAAATCTTATTGTAAATTATTCTTTAATATTTTTTATTCCGCAACAAGGAAACAAATTAGGATGATGATTTTGGAGTAAGTCGCAAAGAACTTACCAATTGGAAATATGTCTGGCATATTTGAGGAACTTAAATTGATCGCTCTCGAACTATGACAGATAGTTTTTTGTTCGTCCATTGTTGCAGTAATTCAGAGTCTATTTTGTAACTTAATTTCCTTGTGTTTGTGGTGACAAAGCTGTTTTTTATTCAATGTTTATTTTGTTAACAAGGAAACAAATTAGTTTAATCTGTTTCTATCCTCTGAAAGCTGTCCATAACCTTTTTTCAGTAATGATAAATATTGTCTTGTTCTTGTAATTCGTTTAACACTTGAAAACTTTCGTCTTGGGGCTTGTTATGATTTCGATTTGTGACGACCAATACCACTGGAAGAAAGCCTAGATTTTTCCAGAATTCAATTTGTGCTGTGCGATTCTCTTTGAGATATTAGAAACATCACTTTCTTCATCTGTTCTTTGATTCTTTGACATTCACGTTGACATTTGCTTTGATCTAGTTTCGTTGATAGAATTAATGGTTAGATTAAGCAATAGCAAGTTCGTAATAGTCTGCCCTTGGCAAAAAATCTTGCCATGATGATTTTTTTTACTTGGTTTTACTATCCTGTTGGCGCAGCCTCAGTTGAGGGACGAAGAACCAAAACAAAGGTAATTCCAGGGATCAATCAGAACAAAGGTTTACATTATCAATTGCCAATGAGAACTCAAAGTGAAAATAACCAATCGCGTGTTTCGCATATGATTGGTTAAGAGGATGGCACTAGATTTCTGGACCAATCACAAACCAAATCATACTGGATTACTTTCGACACTCATTTGGCAGTAGGCCATTTAACAGTTGTATGCTTAGTTGCCAAGCCTTTGATTTGGAGTGAGGCTGAAGGTGACTGGTTGTGATAGAGACCAATATCTAGTTAGCATGGTAACAAAGTAATTTACATTTGAAAAGCAGCAACGATTGCATCATCACGAGGTCACTCTAAGCCTCATTTCTGTTCAAAGGTTTGGCAACCAAGCACGCCACTGTAAAATGGACTAATACTGTAATTACCCAACGATTTGGAGACTGTATTGTCTTCAATTTTGGAGGTGAGACGAAAGGTAGTGGATGGTTTTACGACTCCTCAGCCGAAAGGTAGTGGATGGTTTTACGACTCGTCAGCCCAATTTAAATCTGTGTAAAATGGTATTTCCCATTCAAGATGCAATTTGATATGTATATTTTCTAGGTATTTTTGATAGTGGTGTTGGTCGCCATACTACCTTTAGTGAAGAAATGGCAAAGAACGTAGGTTCCTAAGTTTATCCTTTAATTCAATCATTTCTTGGCTTAAATTAACTTTTGGACAACTTTCCTTGACCTTTTTTAATCCCAAAAAGTGGAGCTCTTTGAAGTTGTTTTCCTGAGAACAGTTGTCATCCCAGTGGTGAATGTTAGGTAAGCTATTTATTGTGCTGTCCGTGTACAGTGTCTGTTAAATCTATCCAAAAGTAAATACCAGATATAAGCTGTAAGATTATCCATAATAAACCTTGTTAAACGTTCTCAGGTTCTCCGCTGGTGTGATTCGTTGGCTGTAAATAGTTCCATTTCACCTTGTTATTAATCTGGTTTTGATTTCACGACAATCGGTCGAAAAGCGCTCTTTGAACAGAATTGCTGCGACAACTTAGTTGAAATCAAGACGACTATCAATTTGTAGGTGTGCGCTGACGACTATCAGTTTGTGGGTGTGCACTTAGGGCCCATTTATATGGCCTCGGGTAGCCGAGACAAGTACGCCGACCAAGCTAACCTTTCACTTATTTCTTTGAAAAACTTTAACTACCGTTGACTATAAAAATGGCGAGTTCTTCTCGAGGGGGGCGGAACGCCTGGAAGGGTGAATTGTCTCGCCACAGCAGATAGGGTAACCCTGTCAAGTGGGACAGCTTTTTCTCCTCTAAACACTTCGCAGTTTCCTCACGCAAAAAACACATCGCAATACAGGTCCTCGTGAACTGGGTTAAGGAGGCCTCTGAGGTACGATGCCCTTCCAGTTTTGAATTTTCGAGGTGTTTGCGGTGGTTTGCCCTTGTATTGTTTGTTTTCGATGATTTTGGTTCTTAGCCGACAGGGAGGTCTTAAAACTGCCCTAAATTTACATTGAGAGAGTTGAAAAAAGTTCGTGGCTTTCATTTTCTACTGAAAAAATGTGGGAATGTTGCTACTACCTCACCACTGATTATATGTCATGAATGGCTGAAGGAAAAAAGCTTATCAGGTCGGTGTCTTCTCGATAAAGCCCTAACGTTTTAGCGATTTGTAGTTTCGTAGTTATTTCGTCGGAGAACTTTTACTTTCGTTAAGGCATTTTCAAAACGGATTGTTTGAGGCGACCATACACTGTCCTCGTTGTCACGATTGAATAGGGACGAAAAAAGACGCATTATTTAAGTTTACCGTGATTGTAGATTGTATCACAAACAGTTTTCCAACCGGTCTTCGTGAGCATGTCGGTACAATGGCCAGCAGTTTTATCGTCTGTCACGTGGTTTTTCACGATACTTCTGACGCGTACACAATATGAAGAAAACCTCTAATTTATTTCCATTTTGTTTAACCTTGACCATAGTTATGTTCCAAGCAAGCCCATTGCTGGAGGTCGTTCACAAATGACATACCAAAACAAATATGTTTGAATACACAAATGCGTGGCGACTTGTCAAACTGAGTCGCATGTTTAGTCCAAACTTCGTCTGGTACGTTGTTAATACTTTTTATTTTAGCTCAAACTTACCGATAACGAAACGAATGGCAAGCCTATTGTACAGGTCTCCTGCTTCTTTTAATTTAACATTCTTCCCGAAAATATTGTACAGAGTGTTCAGAAAACGAATCAACACAACTTAAGAAGGGAGGGGTGCGGCTATTCCGCGCGTCCCCACCCCTGAAACCAGTACATCTGGTTTTTCCCTCCTGAATCAAACTAATGCAGTCACCTAAATGACTTGGGTCTCAATTGGTACATTCTTTATCAAATAAAGTTAAACTTCAATATACATACATATTGACACAAAGTGCTCGGACGCCGCTCACTCATGTGGGTTTTGCTGCTGAATGCGAAAATTTGCTTAACAAGTAAGCATGCTTTTTTTTTGTTAACGAGAATGTTTTGCAAAGTGATGAACACCGAAGCTAAAGTGCCTCAGGAAAATCGAGTTGCTGTTGAAGTAACGTAGTAACGTAGAAGTTTTAAGTTAATTTTGTTATTCTACAGTCTGTGCTTATTCCTTTGAGGACCGTTTGTCTTTTGTTGCCCTCTTCTTCTTTCGTCGACGTCGTCGCTTGCCTCCATCTTTCAATACGTCCACGGCGTTTGCTTCATCCGGAATGCACTCGTACCAGATTTTTAAATACTTGTACACGTTACCGCAAGTGTCGTCGTCGAAGAAAATGTTTGAAGCCACCACTTCACAGGCTTGTTCGTTTTTACACTGTCCATTTACTTTTTTCAAAGTGTTTTCTGACGTTGTTTCGCACAGTCTGTCGGATGTGAGCCCTGCTGGAATCTTGGGACACGTCACGTGGTCGTCACGACCCCAGAATGCCTTGGTGATCTTGATGAGTTCGTATTGTTTGCATTGTACCCAGCCCTTCTCGCCTTCGCAGATTACAGTGAAGTTCTATGAGACAAGATGAACAGTTTAAGTTAGAACCTTTGAGTTGGCTAAGAATTGGTGTTAAAGGGTAGTTGGACAGAGATGCTAAACATTCTAAGCACTTCAAAGGTGGATCAAATTCTTTTAAATATTGAACATAGATTTGCCAAATGGCCACTGCCACGGTGATTGGTTGGAAACTGTAGGGAAAGCCGAATGCATTTCGTAGGTGATTTGTGATCATTTCAGCTTACCGGCATGATTGGTTCAGGACCAGCAGGACCCATAGGTCCTTGCGCTCCAGGTAGACCGGGGGCACCGGGAAGACCAGCAGCACCAGGGGCTCCCTGCTCTCCGGGGTCTCCCTTTTCTCCAGGTATTCCGGGAGGTCCAGGTGGTCCTGGTGGCCCGGATGTACCTGTTGCTCCAGGGGCACCATCTTCACCCACATGACCGGGTGTTCCGGCAGGACCGGCTAATCCCGGAGGTCCAGGATCTCCGGGAGGGCCTGGAGGCCCTGGGGGTCCTGGTGGACCGTTGAGGCCTTTCAAGAAGAAGCCGAGGGTAAGGTTTTGTTCGAGCAACTGACTGACCATGAGCTGGTCAAGGAACGGTTGCGTTATACGGTCGCCGATCTTCGGCCAATCGGGTAGGATTTGCTGTGAGTACTGTGAGAAGTAAACGTAGAAGTTAATTAGTGCTTGATACTTATAGAAATGGCAGTTATCTAGATCGCATAGTAGAATTAGTCAAGTGATCGTAGACTCCGAATTACACGTCAAACAGTTGAATATCCGATTGATCATTTAACCTAAGAAAAAACCTACGAAGTTCAATGAGGTGAATGTACGAGAAAACTTTACTGATTTTTCAAGCGACTGACTTATGGGAGAAAGCCGGACCTCGAGGTATAAACATAAAATAGATGCTTCGTTTGTGACCAACATTCGATTATGTTATTCATCTAATTGTTAGAGTTTTTCTCAGAAAAGAAGAAAGTCAACCCTCTTCTCGCCGCAGTTCAGCGGCAGCTAACTTATTCTTTCTCCGATACACCTCAAGAGCGATCGCTTATATTCCGGTACTCACACGTGACTTGTTCTGGAACATTTTTTTTTTTTCGAAAAAAATTTTGACAAGTATAGAAGACATTTTTGTTCGAGAGTTGAATTACTGGCTTACTTTCCCCCTCTGTTCAACGTTGCAACAAAAGAGAGGTTTAAAAGATAGCATTGCGTCAAATCATACTTAAAATTTTTTTAGCTGACTTGTTTAATTTCACCGAATGTTTTGCTATAATTGATATGTAATCCCTGAGTTAAAAAAAGATAGCAACAACCTGCTATAATCCCTAACAAGAAATCACATCACTGCTTTGAGACGTTTTGTTCACAATTTGAAAATAGTTCATTCCTGAGAATTTTAAGTAAGTGACGATGGTCACTCCACAATAGTCTTTGGTCTTTTTGCCTTAGCTGTATTTACAGTCCTCTGACATTTTCACGCATTACAAAAAAATCCATCTCACCTTCTCTTATAGTGAATATACGAAATGTTTAATTTAATTTACGAATCGTTCCACATGGACTGAATTTAAAAGGTAAATGTTTCATCCAGAATTTTTTATACTTCAGAATAAGGCCGTCAGCACCAGGTTTTCATCACATTTTCGACACATTTCTAAGTGAAACGGCACTGGGATAAAAGACTTGTATTCTAGAAGCTATTTTCTTGATATGTGAAAGCAATAAGGAAAAGCAAAAGGTTGAAGATTAAGATCTAGCACTTTTCACTCCGCGAATGGAAAATGCTACACTCAAATAAGCCGTGAGGAACATGGTGTTCCCCAACCCTGCGCTATTTCCGTAAAAGGAATTATATTCTTACAGATGTTTCAATTTCTAACTTTCCCATTTTCGTATGTTACGTTTTGTAACTCTGCAAATGAAAGCTAACTCGGAAGTTGACTTAAGTATTAGTGTTATAATTTTTTGTGTTAACCGAGTCATACGCTAAATTATTTAGCATTTTAGTGTGATAAAGGAAAGTTTTTAGGGAACATCTTTGTTTCATAAGTGTCAGATAGGTTTTGATGCTTTGTTGCTTGTCGTGAGGCACAGGGTAGTTATTCCTAAGAATAATTATTCCAAGACATTTATATGTCAAAAACTTTCCTCCTTTCCACAAGAAAGGAATAAAAGATGTTTTGAAAACGTAAACACCCTCACCTTACAAAAAAAAAAAAAACAGTCCATAAAACACTGGCTTAATGTTTGTTCAAGAAGAGTAACACGATTTATTGCAGTTTTCGAGTAGTTACGACTGTCAAACATTCTAAACGCGAGCATACTCTGCGCAGAATTATATTCCTAACGATGTAAAGTGCTTGTTTTGGTCTCGCTAAGAAAATAAAACGTAATGTGGATACAAAAAAAAAAGTTTTTGACGTTTACTGGGCAACCATTAGCTTTACTGGTGGTACCTGCCCATTGTTTACATCAGGCAAATGTTATGCATCGACAAGCAAGTGTCAAAAAGCTCCAAAATTATACGATCTAATAAAAAAAACTGAAAAATGGAATGAAATCGAAAGTGTTTTTTCACATTTTGAATGTTTTAGAAACATGTACTTGTGCCATAACGTTGTAGGACAAAGTTTTTACCACGGTAACGAATGAGAGTTGGAAGACTTGGTTGAGACCGAAGCATGTTTAGCTCATGTGCGGAGTTTTATACGGCTTTTCAGTAGAGACAAGATGATCGATCATGATGAAAGCTTTGCGAAACTAAATAATGAGGAGAGTAACGCAAGAACTTTTGTGTTTATAATGAGTGATTGTGATGCAAGGTCGGTCACCTAACTGGTATTCTGTCCGCTCTACTTCCTCTATTGCATTCGACATTTTTTGCACACAAGCTTTAGTCATAACATTCGCAAAAAAAGCACGAAATTTTATCAGTTTGTAAGTTAATCTACCGTAAGATTGTTGAATTCACGGTTGTATAACTAGGGGAACAAAACACCTCGAACCACCGAAAAACGACCTGTCCCTCGTCTAAGATAATCCAATGGCGCGTATCAATAATACGTATTGAGACTTCTCGGGAATAACGGAGAAAATAATCTTCACCTACCGTAGATTCTAGCCATAGTAGGCCCGCAAATAAGGCAAGAAGGCAGCCTATGCCTCCTCTGAGCCCCATAACCTGGAAGTGAAATGAACAAGAGAACAAGTGATCAGTGATTCTCGAACACCCTGATTTGTTATTAATTATTACTGAGTTGTGATTCATCTCATCGGCAAAGTATCTTGGGCGCCAAAATCTTTACCTCAAGTTTTTTAACTCAATGGGATTTAAAAACGTCTTTTTGAAACTCTCTCTTTTTTTTAGTGAAGTAAAGATTTACTGGTTGTATCACTAAAGTTGTAAATGATTGCGACTTAAACGCACAGTCGACCAAGCGTTCAGTTACTAAACTTACCGCTGTAGAACTGAAAAACTTTGAGACGAAATTTCAAGTCTAAAGGAGCATTAATATAAATAATATTGTCTAAAGTAAGTGTACATTTCCCGTCCATAGTTCGTTAGGTTGAGGAAGAAGGTAACACATCCTTGATCCTTCGATCAAGGTATGACTCGGGCAAGTAATGTCAAACGCCATCATAATAATATTTTTCTCGTTAGCTAAATCCCCCCTGTTTAAAAGAGAAAGGCAATATGAAATAGAAGGTTGATCAACTCGAACCCCAAGGAAATTAGTTCAAGCTAAGTCAACCTGCGCTGCCCACATCCTTCTGCAAAGTCTATCGTTATAACAAAACCAAGAGTTCTCCTGCTCCGTCGATAATTTAGTCGGCGAAGATAATAAACCTCATCCAAACAGACGACTTAATTCATCCAGACTACGATTGACTCTCTTGCTCTGAAGTCCCATCTGTTTGGATGAGGTCCATTCCTCTATCGACGTCAGACTTGTTAAAAAACTGCAGCGTATCATGAACAGAAAACAAGACAAAATGTCCGCGGAGAAGAAATGGCGTTTCGTAAATAACGAAGCTGGTTTACCAGTGTTAAATCCCTGTCCCGTGTGGTTAGAGTAACACAGTGCTAACTCCTTCAGTGCTCCAGTTCAACCCCAAAAATGTTTACCAATCAGTCCAAGACTAACCTGTGACAAAGCTTTTTGTTTCCGATGGAAAAATAAGCCCTGTCAGTTGCCGTTACCGTGAGGTCTGAAAATGGCTCTGGTCTCAAATGTTTCAATACTGGCGCTCGGGGAGCTTTCGCGCATGTGTGTTGCCGGCGTCCAACCACCTTCCCGTGCTTGACGTGGCATTACAAAGGAGGAAATTTTATTTGGCATGACGTAATGCAAGCTTAACATGCTTATGCTTTGACGGGCCAATCAGCGCGCGCCTTGGAGCTGCCCGTGGAGTGAAACAATGGCTCAGTCATGAACCAAATCGACTCTTAGGTAATATTGATATAATTGGATTGCTATTTAATAATAAAACAAAACCTCTACTGAACTGTCAGGTGCGAGTAACAGGAGACCAGTGATTTAGGACATGTTTTGGCGCCTGGTGACCAATCACAGGCGAGGTTAAGTGTCAAGATTTGTAAAGAACACAAGAAGTTTTGACATCACTGCGCAGGTGGCGTGCAATCAGCAAAACTGTTTTCTCGATTTTTCAGCGATCTAATTTGGGAGGTTTGTCTGATTTTCTGCAGGAATTCTGATTGAGATGTCATATTCCTTTTAAATGACGGCTTGTCTGCGATAAAGTTATTATAAGGGAGGTTGGGATGACAAAGTTAATGGCCTTTTCATCTACAAAAGCTCTCCGTTTGAAAAATGACTCATCTGTGTAGTTTGTTTTGACGGATCAATTGCTCCACTGAAGATTCAATGGGCAAATAATAAATTGTTTTCAATTCGTCTGTCTTGCTCTCCACGCTCGATATAAAATGATGCCTTTGAACGTATAATCGCTTGGCTAGCAAAATTCGGAAACGATTATTCACCAACCATATCTGTTTAGAAAAGAAATGATGTTCATTTTGTAGTGAATGCTTGATATTACTAATCATTGCGTGCCATTGATAAACGACACCCTCCAACCGTAAATATATAAATGTTCCTTTATGAAACTTTCTATATAGAGTTTGTGAGGGTCTCCCCGAAGAAAGACAACTATTCACTTGTAGTTAATTTTTTTTGTAACGTCTGGAGGTTATCATGCCGAAGAAACATTGCTGTTCGCTTCTGAAATCACTGAAGGGATTCGGTCATTTCATAATTACACATCTTCGCCCAAGGTATATAAAGCGTGCTGTGGCGTGTAGTAATACATCCTGTCTTGACCCTTTAGTGAGCCGTGTAGTTTTCGTGGTGGACTCGCGGCTGCGTATCGTAACGTGAAAGTCTGAACTCTGCAGTAATAAATAAGTTTTATTTCATTCTGTCCTTAATTGTTTAGCTTTTCACGCCAAAGAAATTTTTGCTTACTTCAACTCTCGACTAGAAATGATGATGTTCAAACATAACTTAGTTGCATTGCACATTTGTTGACAATACCCGTGGAGTTGCTAAGTAAGAAAATAAGTAAATCGTGTTGAGGTTATAATTCTAGCACCTGTTAGAAGGTCGAGTCAGTTGCTCCAGCTAGCCTGGGTCACTGTTGCATATCCGGGTGAACTGAACCTATGAAATGTCAGTTCAGTTGAGATAGGCTGCACGATGGCTGCATATGGGCCTTCTCTTTTTAACTTAAAAAATCCAGAAAAGAAATCTACCCCTTTTTATGTAAAATATGTTTTCTTATCACCCGAATTGACTGTTCCGTCCAAACCTTCCTCAACAATATTATAACATCCTCATTATCAACCTTTCTATCTTATCAGTAATTTTTTTTTCACTGATTGACGAATGTATGTCGCTCCACTTCTCCAAAAAACGTCTTCGAATATCTCATGTAACGTTTCTTTTTCCCCGAATACTTTGCTCGTAGTCATCTTTATAAAAATCCTTTCGAAATATTTCTTTTAACTTTTTCCTGTTGTATGATTTCAAAAGAGCTTAACAATTTACAGCTGGTGTTGTTTAAAAGCCCTGTTGTTGCCATGGTAATGTATATGACAAAGGAGTAGTATGCTTCAGAAATGGCGAATCTTTGAGCCACGAGAGACTACAAAAATGCCAAAAAAAAGTTTGTTGTTTCTGGAGCATACACTCCCATGGAAACAACTGCAACGGTCTTTGGGCGCCATCGGCTGTATGGTAAGGTTTCTTCTCTATTATACCAAACTATTTTGTAAAACCTTTTTTGGACCCTCCAATTGTTGTTAGCTTTTCTTCTGTTTCTCCTGACAGAACTATTCATTCGACAGCTTGAAACGGATTTGACAACACCAAGATCTGCAGGAGGTACTTTCTCTATCTTGGTGAGCCGCCAGCAAACCAGTGAAGAAGCGACAATGTATTGAAGATTTAAAAAATTGATTTATTTTAAGAGCCCTTACAAATAAAGAAATGTCGTTCGCATTCTCACTTGACTCCGATTTTATTCTCGACAACAAAATGTCCTATGTAAAAGAAAATTTATACCTCGACTTCAAAATGACTTTTAACTCTTTCTAAAAACGATTTCCTGTTGTTTAACCACTGCAAGGGTCCTACAGAATTTGTTCCAGTCGAATGTCGTTGAAAGAGTTGAATCGAGAGCAGAAGTGGCTTCAAAGAATCGCGATTGCGCAAACCCTGTTAATCTCGTTCGCAGAACTGCAACCAACTTTCAAAAGCACGAGACCTCTGGCTCGTTTTTTCGTGCGTTAAGTGTCAATCCTACATGAGTAGCGAATAACTTCAGCAGAAAATCTTCAGCCTTCCCTTCCCCAAGTAATGTCAACCTTATTCTTTCGTTTAAAATTCGTCACATTATTCCGACCATGTAGTTCCCTATACAGTTTGACAGAACGAGAGAATCGATCGTCCACCTGAAACCTCGAGAAAATTTGTAAAACCCAAGCAGTTCTCTCGACAACTAATAGGAGATGTATGGACAATTTCCTTATAACTATTAAACCTGACCAGCTAAAATTTGCACAACTGAGAAAAGGCTGCTTAGAGACCCTAGGATAAACTCCTAAGACTTGGGATTAAAGGAAAGCGCAAAGGAGTTCGGAAAAGAATATAAAAGACAAAGAAAGTTATACAACCTTGTATCTAAAATCATTTCCCCAGCAGGAATGGATTATTTCGTCTTAGATTTGTAAGCGTTAAAGCATTAGATTTCTGCATAGAATCATTATGTCTTCCAGTTTCACGTATTCTATGACAGGCTTGTCCAGTCTTTCGACGTGTTATGATACCTATAATCAAAACTGAGACTCGTTCATCGAGAGAAATTTTTATCCTTTAAGAATTATAACCAGGATGGAGTCAAAGAATTATCTTAAAATCATTGCTATGCCTTCTTTGGCCTGTGGAATGATAATTAATACTCAGGTTTAAAAATATGAACGGGTGTCTCAGTTCTCCGTGCTTCGAGTATAACATTTTTATTAGTGGTGGTTTGTACAGAGTACATTCTTCATCTTAATGACTTAGTCAAATTAGCCTTCACCAATTGCAAGCTTACAATTACACGGTTTGATGGAGAGAGAGGAATTTGCACGCCCTTGTCCAACCCTATGTTAAACTGTAAAATAAACAAGCATCCATTATGTAAATAAGCCGCGCCCTCTCCAACTAACAGAATTCAACCAGCAACCAGCAACCAGCTGACTCGAGATGAAATTTACTGAAGTACTTTGAGGAGCCTTTTCGCAGTTTGATCTCTGTAATTCTCCAAATATCTGGAACAATCAGCCAAATTTTTGGCGTTTGGAAATGTTTTCTCTCTGCCACTGTTTGTGACCAAAGTCTCAGAGGCGAAGTCAAGATGTACATCAGTAGTATTGACGGATTGGAGGATTGTAATCCTGTTTCCCGGGATGACGTAGAGTATTCTAAATTTTATCGAGGGATTTTTCCCCATTACCGCTATTCTTGTGGTCCAAAACGGTCCATTTCCTAAAAACAAATAAATCTTCAAATTGGGTTGGGGACGACGCATGCCTTGTGCAAAAAATGAAGCAGGCTTCTCAAGCCGTGTTTCAACGGTTATATTTCCCTTTCTCGAATCGAAAAGAACGGGAATATGAAGAGTTTCAGCAAAATAACTCCATTGTCTCCATATCTGTCTAGAGACCATAGAGCGAGACCTCTCATCTTTCGAAATTCCATGTGATACCACGCTACGTACAAAAGACTGTCAGATTCCATTCGCACCAGAGCAGCAGCACAATTCAAGCACTCTTGATCCAACAAAAATTTCCATAGGTCTCATCTCATACAACAAAAACACGAGATCTGCACTAGCGAGTCTAAGCTTTTCGCTCAACGCATTCCATATTATATGACGTATTTTCCGTCTCAAGCTGCTTTCAAAGTGGACGAATTAAAAAGACATGAAGTTGACATGAACACACACGAATCAGCCAATCGGAGTACGGAATCCTCATTTGAAAGGCAGGTTGTAGTCGAGCCGGTGGCTTATGGGTAAATCAGGACAGCCAAAGAGAGAACAATAGGTTTTACTTTGGGGCCTTGTTGTTCGCTCTCTAACTGAAGTTTAGCCCCAGTTATTCCCTTTTTGTTCAGGAAAAACATTTTATCAGGGATTTATTTGTGAGTATGAGCGATCTGTGGTCGGATCAGCCGTGTTCTGTGTAAGAAGACATTGACGAGACAACATAGCTACCAGACTTGTAAGTAAGCAAAGCTTTGTGTTAATTATGTTAGTTTTCAACCAGGAAATGGAGTGGGTGATGAATGGGTGCCGGATAATGTTACTTTCAAATTTGAGCTTTCGTTAGTTAAAAAAAATCTGGATATGGTGAAACCTAAATATGGTGGTTGGTTATATTGCAGGAAGAATAATTAGAAATTTTATCAAGCCCTTGTGTTTTCACTTAAGTTAAATGAAATACTGTTTCACACATTTTATAATATATCTGTTCTTTTCGAATTGTTCTGGGATTTCAATTTCAAATACTTTCAAAGGGTTAACATTTTGGATATTTGACGCAGCTGTTGAGCTCTCTTACACCTTTCCAAATTGGCAATTTTTGTGTTACTTGACAGTTTTTCTCACTTATCCTAAGTGCTTCGCAGTTTTCCTGCTCTTGTACAAATTCAATTAGATATGTTGACCTTTCCGAGCAAGGCACCAGCTTACCACCTGCGCCATGATACGTTGAAGGAACCGGCGTCGCTATTGTCATGGTAACCGCTTTGATTTACCTTCGCAACGCGAAGTGCTTCGTACAATTGACTCTACGTCGTGGGACAGATGCTCAAACGTGTATTCATCTACAAAACCACCCTAAACAAGATTTTCTATAAAAATTAATGACTCTGTTTTTCAAGACTGCAAAGATAATGTTTGTGTTTGTGTTCGAGTAAAAATGCCTCTCTCAAAGAAAATTTCCAGTTTCTCAATTTTTCCGTAAATTTTTCTCCGGGAAGGAAAACATAAAGAGATATAATAAATCGCAATAATTTCTTATTGCTCCAAAAAGACCATTACGGTTCTGCCGGTTCTGAACTAGCATATGTGTTTAATTTTGCATAATTGTTTAGCAAAATAGAGAAAAACCATGAAAATAGTGGCTGCATATTTTGATGTTAGGGATTTCTTCTTCCTCCAAGCATACTTCTTCCGATTATCAAATTGAAATCACCTAAACTGTTAATAGCTTTGTCATAAATTAGGAAAATAGCGACAAAAGCAAACTGTTTATTAGTATTGTCCTATGTTAGTAGGGTTCTACTGCGGTTGATCAGTAATAGTGTAGTGTATTAACTTAAGCTTCCTTTAAGACATCTTAAGTAGTGAATCACCAATTTGTTTTGGTTTTTTGCACCACTGAGTTGCCCATTCTGTTCTACGATTGATAACTTTCTTTGGTATCTGCATTTATCATTAATTTTCAGCCTTGGTTAACTTATTTTAAGCGTGGGTAACAATCGCATGAATGAATCAGACTTCAGTTGCAGGAATTTTCTTCATCTTAGGAAAGTTTGACGTTGGCCTTAGGTCCTAAACCCGCTGTTCAGGACATTCTCGCGAGCCCGTGAGCTTGTCTCTTTGGAAAACATAGCTCATTTTAAACTGACATGGAGTCCAATGGCTTAAATCTTAATTTTTAGATGACTCCTGTGACAGCCCTTTTTTTTGTTCAAACTTTTTCACTTTCTCTAAACACAGGTGTCGGGAAACGTAGACAATCTCTTGTCGCTAATCTCCGTAAATACCATCACTTATGACAATAACATGCTCTTAACACAATCACTGCACCGGTTTAAAATTTCATCGTATTTCCCCATAGTTCGACTCTGTTCTGGTCAACAGAGGGGTTTCTCACTTATCCTTAGTGGTATTGTATGCTCTCTTTTTAAAACATGAACAATGTAAACGCAAGAAATCGAGAAAACAGATTGCCTTTCTTTTGCTTATTTTCCATTTACAAATAAACTTTACATGATGACAAAAGGTGTACAAACAAAGTTTGACACCTGCTCTTTTATGCAATTCACAACAAGAAAACCTGTTTTGTTGTTATCTTTTTTAAATTTGATCGCGATATTTTCATTTTTTTATACTTCCTTTTTTTCTTTGCCTCTACACATTTTTTTTTAACGCAGCCTTTCAAATCTATAGGTCATGTCTTGAAACTCATCAGTCGAATGGCGAAGTTTTTCTTTGATAGCTGAGAAGAGGGTTGATTTTCTTAGAAATCCAAAATCCGACGACTTTTTTTTTCTCCCAACTTCTTGTATGGGAAGGGACTTTTGTTTGTCAAGTGATCTCTACCTATGACGCTTTGGAAACTAAAACTCCTGATTAAATTTTAGCTTGCCCCTTTTGAACTTGCTTAACACAAGGAACGCTTAAGAAAGTTATAAATTTTACGGTAATTGATTTGGCTCTGTTTCCTGGTAAAATAAACTGTAAATTGGAGAAAGAGCTATTCGAGTCCAAAGTCTCGCGCGCATTTAATTCTTAAATTTGTGTAGTATGACATGGAATGTAGGATTTTAATTCTTTTTGCATTGATTTTATTGAACTACGCTCCACAACAAAGGTAATCATGCTTTTGGGATGTTTTGTTATTTTAACCATTTGATCTCCACCTCGAAACTGGAATCAAAATTAACCCTTACTAAGAGATCCTGGTCATAAAAACTCATGGACCATCACAACATCGTGTCGCGCGAAGCCACGAGAAGTCAACACTATAAGTGTGAATACTGTTTATACAACAGTGTATTATTGACTTTATTCTAACAATGAAATGGTTTGTTACGCTCCCAACACGACGCCAGCGCTACAACACTACAGTATTGTACACTCCGTCGCCTACGCTCACCAGGAGTTCTAAGATAAAGGGAAAGGTTATAGACTCGGAGAAAACACTGTCAGTAGAATGACAATCAAACTTAATTACCTTGAAGTTATTCACTGAATTGCTGTTATGGTCGGGCAAAACTGTGAGAGTTTATAAGTGGTGTTTCTATAACATTTGTAACGTCTTTATTTGTAAATTACCGTTGTCTTCTAGAGTTACCTTGAATGAAAAACTCCTTGGGAAACAAAGATTTTTGAATATTCTTATCATTGCCTTCTTGACCTCGAAACACAGCTCGTCCAAGTGACACTTGGATTTGATTTCTGACACTTTTAGATTGAGTAACATTACGTCAGATTCCTTTCATTCTCCAAGACACAACATGAAAAAAGGAGAATTCTAGAAATTTTTCGGGTCTCTAATAATTTCAAATCAAATTCTCAGTGAAGCAAACAATTGCAGCATCCTTGTTCCATCAAACTCGAAAACCGTGCAGACAAAATCAAGGCTTGATTTTCAAGAGAGCGTCAATGATAAACTCCAGTGTTTATTTGAGCGTGTAGTCACACACTAGCAACCTGCTCGCGCCAAAAATGACGAGCCCTGATTGGCCAGTCGGTGTTAAGGGTCAACACATTACGTCATCGCATCTTAATGTTGTGTATGAAGTGTCTCAACTCTCACGCGGGGCCGGTGATGCCACGTTGGGTGCGTTACCATATCGCCGCTAAATATCGTAGGCTCGTCTCAGGCGCCGCTCGACCAATCAATCAAACATCTCTTATTGTGGAGATAATTGTCGGAATCAGTAGAGCCAAAAGCGCGGACATCTTTTTCTGTTAGTGCCGTCAAGTATTTTGGGTTCAACGGGCTAACATCAGCAGGTTGGTTTGTGATAAGCGTCGTTTTCCTCAACGAATGCGAATACTTTTTTCCTGGATCAAATGGTGGTTTGATATCGGTGGGAGCTGCCTTGGCCGTTTGAACTTCTATCAGTTCAGTCATCTTTGACAGGACAAGTGTTTCACAACGGTGAGATTCACTAACCGCTGGCATTTTCAAAGGAGAGCTCACAATTGAAAACAACAAAGAAATTCAAGGCGTATTGATATTCCCGGTGTCACGTATTCTAGTTTTTACGGAATTTTTCTGCAGACGTTACTGTGATATATTTCATCGTGCAAGACTTATCCCACCGATATCTACCATCTACTCCACTGAGGGGCTGTATATCATATTGATAGGTGAAGTTATTTGTTGGGGGAAAATACGGTAAGTTAGTGCACATTTAGATCTTGAAGACCTATCGCGAAAATGTATGACATGTTTTGTGTGTGGCTCGCGTTCGAGTAAGACTCTGTAATGAAGACAGGCGCGCGAGGTTAATTGAAACACGAGTATAATTTTGTATACTTCGAGTTTCTACTGAAAGTTACTGTTACTGAAGGTTTGCATATTTAGAACAGACAGATTCGTAAGGGTTTTTAAGAAGTGTTATGGGATGGAAAAATAATACAGTGCAGATCTTGTTGTCCGGGATACAACAGGTAAAAGAGCAATTTTCATTTTGTAAGGGAAGAGAAGGGGTTTTCAGAAGTCTAAAATAAGATGTCATCTATAGAAGATTCCTATCATTTGTCCAGTTAAATGGTTTATTTGGTAAGTTTTTATCTGACTGGAAAGCCCGCGAAAAAATATTCTAACAGAAAATTTAACTTTTTCCTGGATGAAAGATCATCGTTAGCTAAAGATTGAAAAATTACAAACCAGAACAAGATATGTCAAAATACTAACTTGTGATTGGCGGAGAGGTGACAGTTTCTGCACACCTGTCGAGCGGACCAGTCAGGGGAGTGTACCCTTTCCTAGATACAAAACTACGTTATCCCCAAATAGTTAAGTCATGAGAGAAAGATAATTAACAATTCATTCACCAGTTGTCTAATATATAAACAATTTACCGGTGGGATGAAGTCACGGTAGGCAGGCTAGAAACCCAACGCCCCATCGCCCGCCTATGTTGGCCTGACAGAAAGTGCCAGACATTTGAAAATAGTGTTTTGTGTTTATTCGCCAGGTCATGAGGCTCGCATCCTTGGCGGTACTAGTCGCCATAGGCCTAGTCCATTTCAAACTATCGGTGAGTACGAGTTTTAAAACGATTCATTAATTTTGGTTTACAAGGCATGTCGACTTGGTCGATCGAACCTTTGATCAATGGAACGATTGATCGATCGGTTGGTGGTTGATCAAGGGAGCGTATCAATTTGGATGACTTCCGTCGTGCTTACACAAACTTATTAAATGCAAACGCTGAGGATTTTGGAGTCAACTTACCATTAAGTTTTCCAAACGGCTGTTATTATAGACATTAACGTCCCTGCAGAATAATATCTGCTCTTAGATGGTTATTTACGGAGTTTATTTTTAGCTTTTAGTCAAGTGTGGTTTGGATTCCTGAAGTTCTTTTAAGTTCTTAGCTCTTAAATTCAATTACTGTTCTAGAAATTTCAATGTTCAATTCTGATATCAATAGGTTAATAGCAGAGACATTTTTAAAAAGTATATCATAGTTTTATTCGTCTGTCTTGGCACCATTTGTAATATTTTTATTCTTCCGCCATATTTGGTTTCGTCCCACCTGCTCAGATGCCAAATATGGAAAAAGTGAAGTAAACTGTAAAAAGAGTTGCTTGTTAATTTTTTACAATTACACGTCGTTCAGATGATAATTTGTCTTTCTCTGTTTCCTGGCTAAAAATTCTAGCTAAAAATTTTTCAAAATATCGAAAAAGACCGTTGGTGGTCTTCATAAAGTTCTCAAGTTAAAAAGATAGTGCTTTTTCGTGGGAAAGAGAGATAGATAAAAGGATCAAGAAATCGGCAGAGTTAGGGGCAGCCAACCGCCTCCGAAATCTCATCTATGATCGATGTTTGCTACTGTGGCAATTACTTTGGCGTCATTATACGTGGTCACAGACAAATCGGTAACAACTTTGTCATGAACACGAGAGTAACTGTAGTTTAGTGATAATATCAGGTTGTCTTCATGGTGGCATGTGGTATCAAAGTCGGTGGTTTTGATTACAGTTATTCATTTTTCGTCGTACCTTTAATAGCCATGAACTTCAGATCTATGTGTCTGTAATTGTAACTTTAATTAATAGGTGTTTGGATTAGGACTTCGATCCAACGCTAACTTAATAGTCACCAAAGCGCTTCGTAAGACCTACTAGTAACTTAAATTGCGTTCTTTAAGAATTGTGCCATTTAAATAACTTCAATGACTAATATGAAATTAATGTAAAGGAAAATGAAACTATTTATATGAACTGAATTTACCCTGGTGCGATTTTAACTCTTTTTTAATGACGATATCGATGAAGGAGACGTTGCATGTGCGCCTTTCACATAAGAAAAGTTTTTCCTTCCAGCGGCCTATCTGTAAACCAATACTGCCTGAGTGTCGTTTTTAATGCCGCGTTGTATGACAATCTGAGGGTAAAAACATCTAAGCAGCCTACTTCAGTATTCTAATAAATCAACTATCGTTTCTTCTCTAGGCGTCTCTGCCCGTGTCTCCAGTCCCTCCTCTTCTTAACAAACTTCTCAAGGATCAGAATGTAACACTGGGTTTCATTCTCAAAGGATTGCAAGGTCCTCCCGGTGCGAATGGTATGGCTGGAATGTCCGGTCAGCCAGGTCAACCGGGTCCACCGGGATTCAAAGGAGATCCCGGTCCTCCTGGTTTCCCCGGTACTCCCGGTCTTCCAGGAGCCCCTGGTTTTCAGGGACCTCCAGGTATGGATGGAGCTCCTGGTTCGCCTGGTTTCCCTGGTCCTCCAGGTTTTCCCGGTGGTAGTGGAATGCCCGGTGTCCCCGGTATGCAAGGACCTCCAGGACCTCCAGGTGCCCCAGGCCCTACACCAATTAGATACGTAAGTATATTTATTTTGATTAGCTCCTTTCTAAAGGTTTCTTAGTATAACTGCAATTTGTCTCTGTTTGACCATAAATACGAGTAGTACGATTCAGAAAATGTATACTATTACGACTCGTAATAGTATTTTTTTTTTAAAAAAATTCATCAAGGTAATAGTTTTTTTTGTCCATTTCCTGCCCTATATTCACATGCATCATGTATACATATTTCGGACAAGTTAAAATATGATCCTTCTTTATGAATCTTATTCAGAACGGAACAGTGAAATGTGAAGAGGACACAGCTTGGCTGCGATGTAACGAGTACAAACACATAAGCATTATCTCCGCTTTCTGGGGAAGACGAAACTTCGGCCTGTGCACGGAACACACAGGAAACCTACAGTTTAACAAATACTGCCCGACAACGCCTCTCTTTCTGACAAAAGTTAAGGACGCCTGTGAAGGAACGACCATGTGCGAGATAAGATGCACAAAGTTCTTCTTCAACGATCAATCTTGCTCAGACGTATACAAATACTTGGAAGTCTACTACAAATGCATTGAAGTTATTAACGGTCACGAGGTTGTGAACGAAGATAACCTACTCAACGCCAATTTCTTGGGTTGAACGAACGAACGAACAAACTTTCTATAGAACGTTACTTTGCTTCGCTCTCGGCTGTATCATTTCACTTTGCTGGAAAGAGTTGTATTTGTAAAAACGGGCTTGCCTGAGGATAAAAAAACGAATAAATCGCTTCAACTAAAAAGGGCGAAGGCCTCGAATTTCTAATTCTTCGGCGAAAGAAGACGACATACATGGTTCTTGTACTTGTGAACCATGTGTTATATCGATTTAAGGTAGTTTTCTTTCTGTACATGACATGATTAAATCATCTTCGTAGAATCGATCGATATTTACTCGGCTCGACTCTTTACGAAATTTGACGAATTAGTGTGACGCATTAGTGAGGTAGGGTCTCCAGTTTTTGTTGTCAACAGGTTTTTTTTTGTTCTAATAAATTACCTTTTGTGCCGTAAGGGCACAGACTGACCAAGGTTTCCAGCACTGACAAACCTCCCGAATTGGCCAGACTGACCAAGAAGCAATGATCAGTAGCTGTTCAAATCGCTTGTGTATGATATAGTGCGATTTATGATGTAATCTTCACTCTTATATGTAAATAAACTGGTAATGGAATGGTTTACAGGTGTACACACGCCTTATGTAGTTCTAAAACAGTAACTCGATCATGATTGCTTTCATTTGGTGACTGATGGATGTCAATGAAGTTCTACTTCAGCATTATGAAGTTCAAGTTTGTCAATAAACGACGTTTCCGTTGTCCAATGCTTTCTTATTCAAACTCTCTTGTGTTTTCCGCAGTATTGCTCCCTTATAAAATTTTTGTTCAAGAAATACAGAACCCAAACAGATCAATAAGGTGTATCACATCTCCTAAAGAAAAAAAGCTTGCAAAGCTGAACGCACACCAATAATAATAACACAATAATTAAGGGCAAAAGGTACTTTGTAAGGGTCTAAAGTATCACATCTACTCAAATTTGAGAGGAAAAACAAGAGTCACTTGAATAGCTGTGAATTCAATTTGACACGAATCAGTTATAGGTCTGTAGAGGTCACCCATGCACTTTTTCATATATTTTGACATGCGCGGTGAAAACTGCATCTGATAAGTAGTTAGCCTCACCAGGCATCATTCCGTGGCATTGCAGTAGGTTTAGTTACAAAAGTACATTCCAAATTAACCAATTCTGCAATCTCGTTAGTCCATTTTAAAATCTGATGCACCACTCTCTGATTGGTGACCACCCGAAAGACAGATTTGCTTTGGTGATGGTCACTAAAGGTGAAATTAATTTGAAGTCTAACGACAACTTATGACTGACTTCTCTCAAATGGGTTTACCTAGGCTGCGGTACTGAAATACATAGATAAGGTTGTTCATCTTGTGAAACCTCTGAAAATTAATTTATATTGCTTCTGCCATTGAGCAGTCTTCAACTTAGACATGTGCCCCTGCCTTCCTCTTCATTTTGTCATAATCCTTGATTATGGTCAAAGAACAGATTCATCTTTGTCTATTAGCTTTGAACATCTGAGAACGTTATTTTTTATCTCCTCGCAAACCTCACACGTGGTGTTTCTGTAAGAATGGTCAAGCTGGTTTTTCTAATTCTTTGATAATTCGATGTTACCATATTTTTTTCATTCGCTACTCTAAAGAATGGGGACCAAATGCCAAAATGTCTCAACAAGTTTTGTGACCATCCGTCAACAATAAAGCGTTACCACAGAGACACCATAGTCTTTAACATAAAACCTTAATTAGTTGTGCTAGGTGTCTCTAACCTCTGAAAAGAGTCAAGCGAACCCCTTTGATAATTTCTGAATTTAAACCAGCAATTCGTTGGAGAGATTCGCTCTAACAAATAGCTAACGTTCTAAACGTCAGCTTTATTACATCTTTACGATGTCCATTTCATTTTCCTAACTCAGTTGATAAAACCAATGATCTTGTAATAACTCCCCTCCCCCTCCCCCCCTCCCACACAGCACCCCAGTTTGTTTGGAAACGCAGCTCTTTTGTTCGGATGTTACAAAAAGTAGAACGAGGAACTGAAGTCGGGGACAGGTAGTACAGCGGTAATCCGCATAGATATTCAAAATGGCTGATGAAAAGTCGGAAAAAGGTCTGAGCACCAGTTTTGAGCAAGTGTTCTTCGCAATTAGTTAGGAAGACAAATGAAACTTTAATTGAAGGATTTTTAACCTTAATCTTTGAAAAAATGAGGTTTACGATTATATTAGTCGCAGGTGCGATGGTAATCCCCCAGGGAAACATTGAGACTCTCAGGAAAACAAAACTAACTCTTTCTCTCGGAGGCTGACATTATGTACATATCTTTTATGGATTACAATGCCCTGTACACGCAGTTTGCATTTATGACCTCACATCAACAAAGTCCACTTATGTTAACCTTTTAACTCCCATTAATGACCAAAACAGAATTTCTCTTTACAATATCAATACAATCTCAACCAGATGAGTGATGAGAATAAAGAAAAATATCAATTTGGGGATGATTAGTTGATCCAATACTAAATTCTCTGAACTAACATTGTAAGAATTGTATGGTTGACAGTAAGGAGAATTATAGGTTTGATCTGGAAGATAAAGGGTTAACCTGAGGAATATGAGGTATTATCAAACTCTAAGACGCAACGAAATCTCAACTTGTACCATCAAAAAACAATATCGTTGTAAAGAAATTATTATCGAGCTGGTGTGATTAATTACCTAGGTATGTGAATCGAGGTTCATACGGAATTTGGTTAAGTTTCATCCAGTGTTTTAAAAACAGCCCTCATAGATGTATATAAAAATTTACAATATGCCATGAATTACAACTTACGAAATTCTGAGAATTTTCTTTAGGTATTTGTGTTGTCCGTGAATCGATTTCGGCACATTTACAGTTCAGGGAACGATAGCACGAGAGGAGCCTTGTCCCTTTTTTCCGACCTTTTTGTAACGAACACCGAGTTTTCGCGCGCATCCAGAGCAAAGATTCAACAAAAGATCTCCCGTAGAACTTTTGACAGTCATTGACGACTTCCTGCTGTTCCTTAGAGGTTATCAGCCGGGCGTCAAACAAGGCCCCCCTTATTATGTTAGTTTGAATATGATACCTCGAGCGAGGATAACTCAAACTGACATGTTGAGTGCTTCAGAGTCAACATGGCTCAATGGGTTTGCAAAACCGTGACGTTTGTTTACACCAAGAAAACTGCGTGGGCCACGAGGTTGTTGAAATGGTTGAGAGGTTATGTTCATCAATGAACAAAGATCAAACACAAGATTTGTTGTTTGAAATTATACTTCCAACTTACGAATGAAGGAAGGAAATCTTGCATGAGGTGAGATGTAACACCCTTGAACAAAGGTCTAGCATATCTTAAAGCTTTCATTTACGGGTCACTTCGGTAGAAAACTGAACGATTGCCACATTCATCTGAACTGATAACTTTTGAGACGTCTGGGCGACTGTTCAGAGAGAAATTCAGTTTTGTAGTTTAAAATCAAAACACTGTCTGATTTATAGATCCGTAGATTTATAAAAACCACAAATAATGCTCATACTTCTGAAACACAAATGTGGGACGCGTATGAAAATAAAACTTTAGTTGCTTCGACAAATCAAATTTTCTCCTTCGTAGCTGGCCAAGTTACGACCTCTATTCCATGATTAAGTTTTATTTTAAATGTGGTAAGCTTCCTATTTTAGCATTTTACTTGTAATTGAAACGAAATATGGATGGTTAGAAGAGAAATTTGTGGGTCAAATCGAGATTTCTATAGGTTTCTCTCAAACATTTTTCTTTTTTTCTTTTTCTTTTCAACGTGGCGATAATTCTGAAATGAAACTTCGTCTTTACCTAAGTCATTGTGTTGTTGTCTTTCTCGGCAAGCGAAGTGCTTTTTATACATTTAATCCAGAGAGTAGAATTTTTCAGTTTTTTGAAAGCTGACGACCACTGATTGTTTGACTCAAGTAGGGTGACTGAATCACTCAAAAATCACCAGCCGTGTCGAAAAACTGGTGCCTGGCGCGCAAGTCGCTGAGCGCGTCATTGGCGGGTAAAGTGGACGAAGGCGCGTGGCGCGCTTTTGAGGCATGACGTAATCAAGTGACAAGTTCAGCAGCATTACCTAACAGCTTGGACTGCGACAGTGATCAAATCGGAACAGCACAACAGTGTCAATTTTATACTAGTTTTAAATTTTGCTCCCCGATTCTTTAGCCTTGGGATTCTTCAGGAAAGGTAAGAGTATTTTTAGGTTTATGGTGAAGTCGTTGAGCTGCACAATTTGCCTCTCTAGTGTTCTGAAAGAAATGAAAAACCCGGCAACTCAACCAAGCGAAGCATTAACAATTTCACCGAGAAATAGTGTCAGCCTGATCCTCATGCACTTTTTGCAATTTCTCCAGTCCTAATTAATGCCGTTTTCTGGTCTATTTTGTCGTAAGTAAAATTACTTAAAGTTTTCCTTTTGTAGAGTTTATCCACGAAAACATCTGTGATTACTCACGCTTGGAAATTTGTTTGATCTTCTAAGTTAACAGCGAGTTTATTCAATTGAGATAAGCCTTCGAAAGAGTTAAGACATGACTTTTTTCAAGTAAGTTGCTTTGTGAAACATAAATCAAGGTGATTCTTAAAACTTGCAAACGCATTTTCTATATTTTTACGTTATCAATAACTGTTTATTTAAATACCTGTTGCTCTGATAAATATGATTAGGCAATAAGAAACCATATCCATGATTTTTCCTTAATATTTTGGCTAAATTAATTTTGTTTTCGTTGAACATGCTTAGAAGAACACAATCGCCACTGAATCAAAATGACAAATGTTTCGTAAACTTTGGCTTTTTCATACTCGAGAAAAACTTAGAATCTTTGACTTCAAAACGTTTCCACTGAACCGTATGGTTCGAGATCACAGCGTTAACTCGCTGATGGCCTAAATAAATAAACTGACTTACAAAATTAAACAGGAAAAAGGATCAGTAATTTTAAACTCAGGGATATCTCGGTTCATACCAGTGACTGATACGGATCGTGAGTCTGTCCTAAAAGAGAAATCGAACTGGAAACCCAGCGAGTGAAAATTACACCGTGAGAGAAAGGGCGCCACAGGGCAGAGATAATTATCTTCATATCTTCATTGCTACCTTTAGTCCGCCATGTTTCACTTCTGTCTTCTGCGGTTTTAGTAATTTGTTGTCATTGATCTTGCAAAGTTAAGTGAATCAGTTTTTTTAAATCAGGGAAAAGAAAAAAATCTCAAGAAATTAGAACCCCGCGTCCTTTTCGCTTGAACGCTGATTTATATTTTGGGATTTTTTAACATCAGATCATAGTTATTTCTTTCAAACAAATTTCGCGTTTCTTGTAGAGACGTTGATATTCATCAAAGAAGAATAGGGATCGCGATCTTAAATTTTCTCCAAGTCTGTATATCATTCTCTATCATTTTCATTATTCTTCGGTTACGTTTTGCCAATCGATTTTTTGGTGGAAATATGGTTTTAAACGGTACAAATTCCCCCTTAAATTAACCTATAGGGCACGATTTAATATAGTAAATCAGCTAAAACCAACCTAAGGATGTGATATTTTTTCTAGTTATATATTGTGCAATATTTGCCGGTCAATTCAGCGAAATGAGCTCAAATTTGGTCTAGTAAACAAAATCCTAAGATTGTGGTGAGTACATTTGTATAGATGAGATTTAAGCCATCTTGGTCTTTAGTTTTGTTT